ATTTCAGATGGTAAGAAAGTGTCCAGCTCAGGTCATATCCAGTGGTTGGATCCTGCCGGTTTAACAATCGGTTCGGTGATCGCGTGCTTCGTGCGCGTCAGCAGTTTTAACAAAACTTACCTTCCTCGTTACTTCTGGGGAGTAACACAGCTGAGGCGCAGCAATCCACTCTGCCATGCGAATCAGCTGAGAGGGTATAGGTAAGTAAAGCGCAGGGGTGGGAGGGAGGCCAACCTGATCATCGGAGCGAACCAGTTCGCTCCCCAGCTGATCATCGGAGCTACCAGTTCACCCGAACTGGCTGAATCCCACCCCTGATCATATCCCTAGTGTGATTAATTAGCTAGAGACATTAAAGCTGAACTTCTGCATCCCCAAAACACATCTTGGCCATGCTGGGGTATGGATCTTTACCAAAGCAGGATATTGGGGGACAGTATCCATTGTTATGTACTTTGGATATTTCATACCGCCATTCACATATAACTTGCATGCAATGCCCCAGAACGGAATGCACAATATGACTGATTTATTAAGTTTTTAAAATAAAGTTTTATAAAAGTTCTTAAAAATCTGACTCTTTCCCCAGGCCTTGGGTCAGATTGGACAGCGAATCCTGTGGGTTGTTACTTTTTAAAACAAACGGTTCTTCTTTCTCCAAATGCCTAGGTTATTATTTGTACTTGTTAATACAGGTAGTCCTCGACTTATGACTACGACTGAGTCCAAAATTTCTGTGGTTAAGTAAGTCCTTTGTTAAGTGAGTTTTGCCCCATTTTACAACCTTTCTTGCCAGAGTTGTTAAGCGAATCACGGCAGTTGCTAAGTTAGTAACACAGTTGGTAAGTGACTACCCCAATAACTTTGCTTGTCAAAAGTTCACAAAAGGTGATCACATGACCTTGGGACACAGCAAAGGTCATAAGTAGGAACCAGTTGCCATGCATTTGAATTTTGGTCACAAGACCATAGGGATGGTTATAAAGCAGGGGTGTCCATCTTGATTTCACTGAGGGCCACATCAGGGTTGTGTTTGACCTGGGGGGGGCAGGTGGGTGTGGCCAGGGTGGGCATCGTCAGCATGACATCACTTGTGTCAGTGGTGCCTATGGTAGCCCAAGTGTTCTGCCAGTGAAAACGGAGCTCAAGTGGGCCCCACACACAGCCCTCCCAAGCTCCAAATTTGCTGGCAGAGGCACTCCGGGCCAGTCCTTTGCTGTTTTCACAGTGGCCCCACAGGCCGGATCCAGACCTCGGCCCTTGAGTTTGACACCCCTGCAATAGAGCCAAGGTGGCGCAGTGGTTAAATGCAGCACTGCAGGCTACTGCTAGATCAGCAGGTCAGCAGTTCAAATCTCACCGGCTCAGGGTTGAC